ATCGTCTTGATGCACTGTGTCTCTGTTCGTTCATCTCATGTGTTTCGTTGCACGTCAATGTGTACTACATTAAATATTCAGGTGTCCTCGGATGTTCAGAAAAAAAGAAGCTTCTTAAGCCACACATTCGGTAAGCGTCAGTTCAGCTTTAAAGCATTCTGCTGCTTTGTTGTACGTGCATCAATAGCGCTAGGCTTTCATATTTTCAACCCAAATTACGCAAATGTCGTAGCTTAGCAATTGAACGTGAAACGCGCAGATGTCTGCCTCATTAACGGGCAATAACCCCCAATACGCGGCAAGCATGCTCCCGCATATTCACAATTCATGAAAGCACTAGCTAGCATGTTCGACGTTATTTGTTGAAATCCTAACGTTTCTGCACATCAATGCCAGGTGTTGGTTACGTTGCGCAGAAACTTCGACCATGCGTAAGCGTTGTATCGTTTATGCGAAATAAGTTTCGCTACTATAGTCGCTATAGTGCTACAGCCTTTGGTTTTACAGTCCCTGCAATATGCTTACGTTGTAGTCTAGACGAATTCCTTTCACTTTCTATAGTCACATTACAAGGAATATGTCATATGTCATTTTAGAAAGAATTTGCGCAATTCGGTACGCTTATGGAATTCAGCCTACTAGCTTACTAGATGACTAACGTAGATACTTAGACGTAGATTACTAACGTACATTACTACATTACTAACGTACTAGCGTACTACATTAGTAACGAAGCACGGACACGTCATAGCATAACATCGTCTTCATCACACTGTGTTGTCTTTCGTTGATCTCATGTGTTTCGTTGCACGTGAATGTGTACTACATTAAATATTGAGGTGTTTATCGATGTTCACAAATACAACAACCTTCATAAGCCACACATTCGTAACAGTCAGTTCAGCTTTAAACCATTCTGCTGCTTTGTTGTGCGTATACGTACATACGTACATATACAACGTACGTACGTTGATGTCATATATATGTTGCGAAATGTCATCTATAATTGTCGACGTCGTCAAATGATGTATTCACATATGCACATAACTGCATTTGTGTCATCCCGTACTATTAGTCACGCAGCAGGGACAGGTGATACCAGATCATGTCATGATATTGTGTTTTGCCAGATTTCCCAGAAATGAAGAACGGCGCAAACAGTGGAGTAGAGCTCTGTGCATCGAACATTTAGAGCTTCGTGATCGTTCAATGCTTTGCAGCAAGCATTTCACGGACGCTTCTTTCGACCGAACTGGCCAGGCAGTGAGGTTGAGGGCTGGAGCTCTTCCAACTGCTTTTCAGTCTCATGACGATTTCCAGGTATAAATATACACAGTGTAGTAGCATATTACATCATATTATAATGACAGTCTACTATACAGTACTGTCGTGTACTGTAGTCTCAATTGCTATGTGTGCGTTTGACACATACAAACTACTTTCATACATCCGACAAGTATATGTAACTTGCATAACTTCCATATATTGCGTACCTATATATCACTGTACTCTATACTGTACTATATATTGTAACACGCTTCATTGTATTGAGTGAACTAAGAAATACAACTCTATACTCTACTTGTACTAACTACTAACAAACTCTGTACTTCCAGTCGAGAATTACTCGAGTAGTACACATAGTCATGAACTTCCATATTTCCGTAGAGTCACTAATACTTCTCATCGTTACTGTAAGGAATTGTTCTGGTCTTATAACATAGTACTCATGTATTTGTATATATTCCGAGGAAAACTCGGAAATACTGCTATTTCACGCCAATATTATTGTACTGAGGCGTGTGGGACGCTTCATTACGCCGCAATATCTCGGCCTAGGAGTATCGTAGAGACAAGCGGTTGGTCTTATTTTAGAGAGCAAAGAATGCTGCTTAACGCAATACCATGAAGTTAGTGTAGAACCACATACAAAGCAGTATTTGAGCGTTGTACACTGTACGTATTTATTCGCTGTTGATATAGAATGAAAACCCAGATCCACTCACCTGAACGCCCCTTTCCGCCCCCCCCCCAAATTACTCCGTCACTGTGTATAGCCTCAGCGCGCCAATTGACACAAGTAACGGCTCAGAGATATTTTGAAGGGCTAGTACATTTTACCCGCCGTTCCCTATGTCCAACTGATATAGGATATGTCGATGTAACCATTCAAACTATCAATGGACAATAGTTTGACGAGGATGGTATATATATATAGTGATATAGAGCTCTATGCTATGCTATGATATAGCAATTCCGTCACTCATACCTCGCAAACCGTTTCGCGCACATCTTGCAAATTGCGTAGAGTTGAAGCACCCGAGTCGACGTAGTTTGCACTGACGCGAACTTGTGGCGACAAATGCAAATTGCCATTAGTGACTTGACGCTTGTGGTTAAGCGGTTCGTCTTATTTTACAGAGCAGTTAATGCTGCTTAACGCAATACCATGAACTTCGTCTAGAACCGCATACAAAGTAGAATAATATTGCCGTGAAATAGCACTATTTTCCCGTTGTAGACTCTAGGTATTTATTACGGATTTCTTTATATATTACATATATTACATATTTATTATATATATTATTATATATACTGATATATGGGCTGAATGTAATGGTTCCAGTCAAGGACTTCGCGATATGCATTCGGAGCGTGTTAAAATCGAACCACATCCACCCACCTCGCAAAT